GGGGTACCACGCTGCTGATACGCTAGTCGAGAACGGGTTCGAGCAGTGCAAGACGGACCCGTGCGTTTTCCGCAAGATGATAGACGAAGTCGTGGTGATGACTATCGTGATTTATGTGGATGTCATTTTGGTGGCTGGGTCTGACGAGGATTGCGAGGAGTTGCTTGCTTCTCTGAACAAGAAGTTCCCCACCAAAAATCTGGGCGAATGCGAAAGGTTTGACGGGTGTGCCATCGAGAGAGATGTAGAGGTTGGGACTCTTGAAATCTCGCAAACCGCGTACATCGACAGCATGGTGAAACGCTTTGATGTACAATTGACCTCCCGCATCCCTTCTTCCCCTGGTGTCGACCTAGGACCGACGAGAAGGGAGGGGAGTGGCCGGTGAGGGAGGCCATCGGCAGCATGATGTGGATGTCGACGTTCTCGCGCCCAGAAGTCTCGTTCGCCGTACGTGCGGTAGCGCGCCACGCCCACGCCCCNCATCGGCAGCATGATGTGGGTGTCGACTTTCTCGCGTCCAGACGTCTCGTTCGCCGTGCGTGCGGTAGCGCGCCACGCCCACGCCCCGGCGAAGCGGCACTGGGATGCCATACAGAAGATCGTCGGCTACCTGAAAGGGACAAGGGACCTCGGCATCACCTACCAACGGGGATCGGGTTTAGGGCTGGCCGTGTACGTTGACGCTAGCTACGCCGACACGGAGGATAGCGTTCGGTGTCAGGGTTGGCGACGACGGTTAGAGGTACCGTAGTCAGCCATGGTAGCAAGACGCAGATCATCGCGTCTTTGTCTTCGACGGAAGCCGAGTACATTGCTGCCGGGGAGGGCGTCAAGGAGGCGTTGTTTGTGCGTGCTGTGCTTCGTTTGTTGCCCCAGAGACCAGTGGTAGCAGCATCCAGGTCCTTGAGGACAACCAGGGGGCCATAGCGTTGGCGCAGGACCCCCTCAGCTCAGGTCGCACGAAACACATCGACGTGCGATTTCATTTCATCCGCGGATTGTTTAGGCCGGGGGATATTTCGGTCAAGTTCGATCCAACAACGGAGCAACACACGGACCTCCTAACCAAGGCCCTTAGCAAGGCCAGTCTGCAGCACCACCGGCGCAAGTTGATGAATTTGCCGGAGTAGCCGCAGCAGTTTTAGCACCAGAGATAGGCCATGTTTTCCATGCGGGGAAAGGCGCATAACTGCTGTCTACCTAAACCTTGCTACAATAGCCATTCCTGCATGGCTACGTATGCCTGACGGTCAACCAATGCTGCACCTACTCACCGAGACTGGTAGCAGCACGAGAGTCCGCAACAAGCGAGCAAATGACATTCGTGCTTTCTCAAGTCTACCCTCTTTTGGTTCGCGGAACCACACCACGATGAACCACACCTACCTACTCATCGAGAGCACAAAATGAAAAACTCCCAGAAAAGGGGGGAAAGGGAACAAAGCATTACAGGCACGATGCACCCAATACCACAAACTCGAGTGGCTGCACTATCCATCAAGTTGCTGAAAAGCGCCAAGCTCGATTCATAATAATGTTGCGAGCATAAATGGGGATCATCTCTACAAACAAAAAGTGCGATCTCCCAGGCGCGAAATCGCTTCCATTCCGCGGCCATGGCAATGACGGGCAAGCGCCAATCAACGCCCGAACAGCAAACCAGGCAAACATCCTCCTTGACTCACAGCAAGGCACAATGCACATCGATCATCAGAACGATACCTGCACCGTGATTCCACTGGGCCACCAACGCGCACGTAGGGCAGATGGGTCATACAATGTAAACGGGAAATAGTCTATGCTAACAGCCCAAAGCAAACAAGTCCCCATCCAACAGCAATCATCACCGTTGCTCGTTCGCTGTGTACAGTCAATACGGGTGGACTGAAACAAAACCCCGGTTGAGAAATACCAACGGCAACCCGTGGTTTCCTTGTTTCACTGGTATGACGTCACACGTCCACGGATGTATATCTCTGATTTCAAAGGCAAACAAAAATATATACAAAAGGACCATGCGTCCGAGGGTAAACTTGGTGGGCTATCTTCACTTCACGTTCCACCCCCACACAAACACGCCTCCTAATCGGATCTCAACCCCGTTTTCCACCACGTGGAGCGAGTATAAGGTGGACCGGACGGCACCCTTGTCGTCTCTGTTCTTGTTGTCTCTGGTGTTGTTCTCGTTGTCATTGTCGTTGTCGTTGTCGCTCTTGTCGCGCTTCCCTCGGCGGCCGAGACTTCGGAAGATGCCCTTGATCATCTTCGCCGGCCTGCTCTCGCCGAGCTTCTTTACCCACCCGACCTTGCGGTTCGGGTTTAGCTTTTGGACCACGACTCGGTCCCCGACGGTCACCAGCTGGGGAAGAAACGATGCAGCGGACCAAAGAGGACAGGGTTGGGTACACATACACGGACTCGGTGAGGGTAGGGTTGTTACTGGCGATGAAAATATGTTCGGATCGGTCAATAACCGAATAAAAAACACACTTTCAGGACAGCGGCTGGCTTGGGCACTACGTAGACTCCCGCCGTCGTTCAAGTACCGTGCTCGTGGAAGCCTCAGCTAGAACAAGGAAGGCCGCTCGAAATGAATCAAGACCACTCGCGGCTAGACCTAGAGTTGAGGATCCAGGCTACACGAACAACTATTTTTTTGTCCACCGACGGTAGACTTAGACCGCCATATGGGCTCTCTCACCTCACTCATTGCACCTTCCAACAACCTTGTTCAATGTCTTCATTCTGCTGAGTGCGAGCATGCATGCAACTCACCACGTCTCCCATGTCGGTGACCTTGAGGACGACGTCGTCCCCCCAGTACCTCTCCGGTGTGCTGGAGATGGCCTTCGGCATGTCCGCCGCTCCCTCGCGGCTGCTGCTGCTGCTCTGGTCGCCACCGGTGGTGCTGGTGCCAGAGGTGGTGCTGCTGGTGCTGGAGGTGGGGGTGCCTTGGTCGGCGTGGCCGGCGTGGTCGTTCGTGTTTCTGTCCTGCTCCTTGCCGGTCGGTGGGATGCTGGAGTAGCCTGCTATCGAAAAGCATGTGTGTCAGGAATAGTCGAGTATCGAAACTGTTATTCTTTAGTAGGTTCTTCGTCATTGGGGAAAACAACACGTGGGCATGACTCGAATCATGGGTGGTGGTTCCCTTGCCAAGAACGCCTCCCCTCTCCCCCCGAAAGGACCTCCCTACCCCCCCCAAAGGGAAGAAAAGACCAACAAAACAGCCAGCTTGAATCCATGGAAGCACTCCCTCGCTCTCCCCAAAAAAGAAATTGCAGTTTCTGGGTATGGAGGGTTTGGTACGGATTCAATACCAGGAATGTATCGAGGGCCGACGCACCTTCAGCCGTGCTCTCGTCGTCTATTTCCCGGAGGTCAATACCCTCACCGTCCCCCTGGCCTTGAGCCGCTGCCGGCGAGTCTGGCTGAAGCGGCGGCGACCTCTCCTTCTCCGCCTCCTCCTTCGCCTCACCCAAGTCCGACTGCTGCCGCTGCTGCCTCTTCTTCTCGCGAGTGAGCCTGTCGTCGTGGGAGCGCATGGCCTGCACCACGTCGGGTGAGGCAAGAACCTTCAGGTCCAAGCCTCGGTCCTCGCCGGCGTAGTTCGGGCTAAGGCCGGCCAAGATGTCCACCGAACTTTGAGCAGCTCGAGAGCTCCAGTTATGGAACGCCCTTTTCACTTCTCGGCGCAATCCGTGGTAACGTGCGATGTTCGCGAGCACGAGGCTGCCATCGGACCCCACGGTCATCACGTGCCGGCGGTCGAGGCTTGTCATTCTTGACGGGAACCGCAGCTCCTCGCCCGCCTGAACATCAACGAGTGAGAGCGAGAGAGATACAGACAATCCGAGTGTATGTATCAAGGAGACACAATAACCAAACGTGGACGGCAGCATGCAGTTACCAGTTCGGTTGATGAGAGACCGAAAAAACGCACCAACATCAACGGAAAGTCCGTTCAACAGGGCGCAATCCATAAGATGCTTCTCAAGAGGCTGCGGCAGCAGGAACCCTAGACTACCCTGGTGCTTATCATAAAACGGCCGCGCTATCGAAAGATGAGAAAAAAAAACAGGTAAAACAAGCGGAGAGGGAAAGGACACACAACAAAAAACAATCAAGGACAAACAAAGACTCGAATGCCGAGAACAATACAAACAAGTGTTTGAGACAGAAACAACCCTTGCTCATGTTCCCGCCAGCGCAGCAGCACACTGCCGGCACAAAAGTATAGGTCGATCGATAGCTGTAGCTTTAAACAGCCCTCCACCTGGAAAACTGCCTTGATCCTTTCCCAACGTGGCAACCTCGTCGAAACCCATACAAGATCAACTGATCGAAACCTCACTGATGTTAATGGGGAGACTGGGGTGACCAGCTGAAACCCCAACGATGAACAGCCCCAGTTTACGGCAGGAATGCAAGAATGCGATTCTGTCACTTTCTGTTTCATTTCGTGTCCTTCGGGAACGAGAACTCCAACTCCAGCATTTGTGTTTTTAGGTCAAGCTCGGAAAGCCCTACAGACCCAAAAGCTATTCTCAACACCTATGTAAACGCGTCATTCGTTGCCGTACCATGAGATACGTTGGCGTCAGTTTCAGCCGCTCCTCGAAGGTGTACTTGGCATATCGCTCCGGGGAAAAGGGCGAAAGGTCATCCCCATAGGGTGGGGAGCCAGCCGCTGCGGAAGCGCCCCGGTCGCCATCCTCCTGCTGCCGGTGCTGCTGGAGCTGCTGGAGCCGCTGCTGGTACTGTTGTTCGAGCCACCGCCGGCGAAGACGTTGGAGCTGGATCCACACGAGATCCTTCGCAACGGGCGTCTTGGCGACCTTCATGCTGGAGGCCGTGTAGCGGACCTCGGCCCCAACGAAAAGCTCGCCACCCTTCTTGATGTTCACCAGCGAGTGGGCATCCTTCTGTGGCGGTGGTTTGCGTCGTGGGAGAGACGAAGACAGGGCGGGGTAGGGAACACCAGACACAGAGGGAGAGGGAGGGGGGAGGAAGGCAAGGGGGATTAGCAACGAGGTTCTGTGCTGTTTGGCCACGGGTGGCTCTCATTCGCTGAAATTTACCTGTAGGTTGTGTGCAGTTGGGGAAAATATCTGCCGAATCGAACGCACTTCGACGACATCTGGATTGTCACCGAATGATTCGCTGCAGAGCATTGTTGCCGGCTTTTCCTTGCCCCAAAAACAAAAACAAAAACAACGCCGCGGGTGACAATCGTTCTCCGTACAAAAAAAACTTTTTCGTGCCCGAATAAAGTGTTGCGCTGCCAGTGAAAACAAATTCGGCTGTTGTTGTTGTTGTTGTTGTTGCTCAGGACAAAGGCTTGAAAGAGAGCTGACGTTTCGTGCAAAGAAATTATGAAAAAATAGAGACGGCGACAAGCTTGTTTTCCAGATCGGCCGGGGCGTTCGGGAGGAGGGGTTGATCTGGCAAAGAATCCGTGTGTCATCAATGCGAGCGAGGGATGACTTGCACCTTCCCTAGGCTAAGTTGTGGGACAAACTGTCAGGAACATCAACCAGCGACATGCAAGGGTATCAGACATAGTATCGGCGTCGTCGCTGTCTGCTGAACTGAGTGCCGAAGGGACAGCATGAACGGTGGGGGGAACGATGCTCGCTAGTGCGGCCTGTTGACTCCGTTGATACCGCTACGCGGTCGAGTGTAGGTAACTAGGAAAACAGCGACCACGCCGTAGCCACAACAGCAATGACAACAAGAGCATCATCTCCCACCTTCGTCCCGTCCTCCGGCAATGGGCCCCAAGCAGTGGGATGTAGGCCCACATACCCTTCTGGCTCGATGGTGAAGATCTCGCTGGAGTCTCCCTGCACCGCGGTGACAACAACAACAACAACAACAACAACAGAGCCAAGAACAACAAAGTAGAGGCGTTGCAGCATCTGTAATGTCACAACAACAACATCGGAGTCGCCATGGTTGCCACCACCGCCGGCGCCAGCAAGAGGACCACCTGCAGCAGTATCATCAACACCATGGTCATCTAGGAGCTCGCTCGAGCGACAGAAGAAAGTTGCGACCGCTGTCCAGGAAGCCGCGATTGGTATGACTGTGTTTCTTGCCGCCCCAAGGCCATGTCTGTTCGCACTACGTTTGGAGCCACTTCCGCGCTTCCGTTATTGATAGCTTGAGAGAAACGTCGCCATCACCCCTATCCATTTCTCTGCTCCCAAGTTGTGCTCGTCTTGGCCATACACCGCAGCCCAACTGACACAGACAGACAACGCGTAGACATACACGCGTACCTCGAGGTTTTCGACGAGCATGATCGAGAAGCCAAACCTCAGGGAAGCCTTCTCGTGCACATGAAAGTGCACGCCCTTGAAGTGGAGGGGGTTCCGGTTGGACACGATGACAGCTTCATCGCTAACTTCGATCGTCTGGGAGTTGTTTTGTCGGTGGGCAGCAGCGGAAAGAGGAGGGACAACAGAAGAACAAGGCATTCAGACAACGGGGTGTTGGTAACACAAGGACAATGATTCTAGGTGTTGCTATTTTTGTTGTGGTCATCACACCAACCTGAAGCAAAAAATATACATTCAATTCCAACGCCATCTGTCACAAAAGGTTTCGATATCATGCACACAGTACTGCCGTGACTCTACAACTTTCTGTGGCACACGAGCGGAGCATATACAGACACAATCACGGAACGGGGAACAGTGGGAGAGCATGATTAGGATGGAGGGGGGGGGGGCGA